CAGGGTCAAAGGCCGGGTTGACATGGCCATCGGCGACGTATGGCGGCGCATTTCCATGGTACTGGGTCACTCCTTGTTTAAGGACGTTGTTCCCGTAGGCCGAGTCGGTCACTGCTGCTGCGCCACCTGCTCCTGCTCCTGCGACAGCTCTTCTTCCTGCTTGGGAGGCTTCCTGGTGAAACTGCTCAGCTCTTTCCTTCTTCTCTCGTTTCTGCGATACCAAATCATTGCTGTTATGTTTCCTGACATGACATGAGTGATTGAAGAAAAACATATACTTCGAATACACCCGTATACTCACGTAAGCATGCATATATTCAGGTATGTTTACATATATTGGCATCTATGAACTTCCTGAAAGAAGACTCTTTTCTATACCTTCTGCTGCCTCTCCTGCTTGGACCTCTTATGATAAGACTTGCAAAAGGCGTTCAAGACCGTCCCGAACTCCACAAGGTTCACGAGCCAGATGGCGAATCCTCGGAAGTACAAGCTCACTGCCAGCAACATTGGTCCCGAGTCGAACACCAACTGAATATCGACCTCCAAGTTCTAACGGTGAAGGAAGGGGAAAAAATAAGAGCGTGAAAATGACAGATTTGATTGTTGTTTGTTGTTTTGTGTTCAGATGTGATTAGTTTTACGGTTGTGATTAATTATGATATGGTTATGATACGGTCTGCTGAGGCATCCGATACCGAGGGTTTAGTTAGGTTAGGCGATTACAAAGCGATTATAAGAACGCGCACTGAAAATATCTGATATAGATAATGAAGTTCTTAGTCATTAATAACCAATGATGAACTGGTGAGCATAATTTTACAAAATAAGATGTACAAATGCTCTTTCAGGAATTAGATCCCAAGATTTACGATATTACATATTTTCAATCAACTTCTTCAGAATATTCAGCCTTACAGCCGGTTTGTTAAAATTGTGCCAGGCCCGACCCAATGAATTTTCCTGGGTACAGATGCAGAAAAAAGGCATATCTGTCTATATATCTGATAGATATACATTTTACCATCTATTTACCGGGTTGTTTCATCATTCTAGCCAGATAAATATGATTTATTTCTTTATTTATGCATGCCAAGTATACGAATATTTTGGGTCGGGCCCTTCGCGCAATTCTAACAAACCGGCCGTTAAACTCACCAAAATGTCCTGGATGAGGAACGAGGATATTGTGATCTGATGAGCAGAGAGAGAGTTATGAGAAGCCAAGCACGTATCCCCATCGTTTACTGGTTACAAGAGCCAAGCTATAAATTATTCAATCTGGGAGCTAATCAGTCACAAACTCTCGAAGGTGTCATAAAGGTCTATTCTTTCATTTTTTGAGTAACATTGGGTTTTATTTTTGGAACGTCACCAAAGTTATATGCTTTGTGAATATGTCATCATTTTGGTCTCTTCTTCAATTTTCAAAAAGACGGAAAATAATTACTTTAATGGTTATTTTCCATCGAACAATCATCAAACAAACGCCATGACACAAAAATTGCTAAAGCCGTTCCCAAACAACCCATAACAGACTTAAAAACATCAACAAACACCCGAATTGCTTGTTAACTCCACGTGCCAAACGCCTAGACATCTTACCATAGATCATAACGAAGCAGGAGACGAACCACAGCACATGGAGAGCCAAGTATGCGATCTGATACTTGAAATTCTCCTCGGATGTAGTCTGTGAGAGACGGTCTGTGATGGTAGTTCGCTGTGATGGACACGTTGCTACATGTTTCTGCTGCGTCGTCTGGGAGGGGAAGGGAAGGGAAAGACCGAGGGAGATGGAGAGAGAGAGAGAGAGAGGGAGAGACAGACAGACAGGCAGACAGAAAGTAATAGATAGAATAGATAGCCGAGAGAGTGAGAGAGAGGGGGAGTGGTGTGAGACGTAGGGAGAGGAGAGAGAGAGTGTGTGGAGAGAGAGGAGAGAGAGGGGGAGAGTGATGTAGAGAGAGGGAGAGGGGAGAGTGGTGTAGAGAGGGAGAGGGAAAGAGTGGTGTAGAGAGAGGAGAGGAGAGTGGTGGAGAGAGGGAGAAAGAGTTGTAGAGGGAGAGAGAGAAGGAGAGAGAGAGTGGTGTAGAGAGAGGGAGAGGGAATGTAGAGAGAGGGAGAGAAAGAGTAGAGAGGGGAGAGGGAAAGAGGGTGTAGAGAGAGGGAGAGGGAAGAGTGGTTGTAGAGAGGGGAGAGGGAAAGAGTGGTGTAGAGAGAGTAGAGGGAAAGAGTGGTGTAGAGAGAGGGAGAGGGAAAGAGTGGTGTAGAGAGAGGGAGAGGGAAAGAGTGGTGTAGAGAGGAGAGGGAAAGAGTGGTGTAGAGAGAGGGAGGGTGACGAGGGGAGAGGCAGTCGAGGTGTAGAGAGAGAGGGAGAGGGGGAGAGTGGTGTAGAGAGAGGGAGAGGGGAGAGTGTGATGTAGAGAGGACGAGAGTGGTGTAAGAGGGGAGAGTGGGTGGGAGAGAGATGTAGGAGAGAGGGAGAGGGGGGAGAGGTGTTTGAGAGAGGGAGGGGAGAGTGGTGTAGAGAAGAGTGAGAGAGGAGAGAGAGAGGGGAGAGAGAGAGAGGTAGAGAGAGGAGAGGGAGAGGGGTGAGTAGAGGGAGGGGAGAGAGTGATGTAGAGAGAGGGGAGGAGGTGATGTGGTGAGAGAGGAGAGGGGAGAGGGTGTAGAGAGGGAGAGGGGGGAGAGTGGGTAGAGAGAGGGAGAGTGGTGTAAAGAGGGGGAGAGTGGTGTGGAGAGGGGGAGAGAGTGGTGTAGAGAGAGGGAGAGGGGGAGAGTGGTGTAGAGAGAGGGAGAGGGGAGAGTGGTGTAGAGAGCAATAAAAGAGTGAGGAAGAGGAGAGTGATGTAGAGAGGGAGAGGGGGAGAGTAGGTGTAGAGAGATGAGAGAGAGAGGGAGAGGGGAGAGAGGTGTAAAGAGAGTGAGAGAGAGGGGGGGGAAAGAGGGGAAGAGTGAGCTGGTAGTAGAGAGAGGGAGAGGGAAAGGAGTGGTGTAGGAGAGAGGAGAGGGAGAGAGTGGTGTAGAGAAAGAGAGAGAGAGACAGTCAGGCAGAAAGAGAAAAAAAAAATAGATGAATAGATAGATAGAGAGTGAGGGAGTGAGAGGGAGAGTGGTGTAGAGAGAAAGAGAAAGAAATAGGCGGAGAGAGTGAAAATAGTGAGAGAGAGAGAGACAGACGGAGAGAGAGAGTGAGAATAGTGAGAGAGAGAAAGAGAAATAACGAGAGAGTGAGAAAGAGAGATAGCGAGAAAGAGAAAGAGAGAAAACCGACATTAAGAACTTGAGTTTTTTTTTTTTTTTTTCTTTCCTTTTTGAATTCAAAAACAAACCCTATGAACTTCACTTACTACGCGAATATTCACAAAAAATATATATACATTCTCCTTGTGCCGTATTTTCTGAACTTACCGTAGAAATACCAGGACCAAAAGTCACTTATTTGACCTGTTAATGCGTCTGGTGGTTTGATGATGCACTTGTTCATACATATTAGCACTGCATTTAGTACCGCGAAGGCCACCGCCTCTATCTGTATGGGAGTGCAAGTTGATGAGAAAGCAGAAAATTAGAAAGAAAGAAAGAAAAAAAAAAAAAAAAAAATATATATATTATATATATATATATATATATATAATATATATATATATATAAATAATATTGTCTTTTTCCATGTCCACTTGCCTTCCAATATATATATATTATATGATTTGTATGTGTAATTTCTTCTTTGTATGTATGTATCTATATCTATCTGTCTATATGTATATGTATACGCACACAGAAACAAACACACACACACACATACTTTCTCTCACAGATATATGTATATGTATATATATATATATGTACATGTATATATGTATATGTGTATATATGCATGTATGTGCGTGTGTGTATATGCATGTGCGTGTGTGTGTGTGTGTGCGTGTGTGTGTGTGTGTGTGTGTGTGTGAAAAGAGAGATAAGAGAGAGAGGGTAGGGGAGAGAAAGACATACACATAACGTGTACATCATACGTCGGTACACACATATAGTACAGGCAGGTCTTCACAGAATAGAGATAACAGCTAAAACAATGTCGACGGTTGATAAGAACAATCAAGATAACAAACAAAAGCAAGCATAAAACATATACTTAATAATAAAAAAAAAATTACAATTTCAACTTCGGAAAAAGAGTACAAGTTGCACATTCCTATGAACGAAATTTAACCGAAAGAAATATTATACAGTCGAATTAGAAGGTAAAACACGCCAATAAAAAACAACAACAGGATTTTGAAATGACTCACTGACTGATTCTTCTCTCTGATAAAACGTCTCCAGATAATTGGTTTTTCAAGATAACGTCTTCCATCTTCTCTTTGTTTTCTTGTTTCTTGGACAACCAATCACGTATGTAGTGTTTAAGAAAACAGAAATGCACAAACGAGATAGAACATTATATGTACTTTCGCACTTGCAAATGCTTTTACATTACACGAGAGTTACGTGCACTTAAACATACACAAATCTACCTGTAAGCTTTGTTTATCACTTATCACACACATAAGTAAAAAAAAAAATACGCGGTCAGTCTTATTGAGAAACTGTAAGATCTGTATCTATATTTAGTAATGGATATAATGTTCTTTCATAACAAAATGTCCTTTGATACAAAATAGTCATAAAGTTACACAAATTGTTTTTTTTTTTTTGTATATGTTAGCGAATCTCAGTTGGAAAAAAAAACGTAATTTTTCGACCCTGATTATTTCGTGAAAAGCTTTTTATTTGACTTAATCTATACGTGGCACCAATTAATCTGAGATTAAATAAGAAAAATAAGCGAACTTATCCTGCCGATAGTGAATAAGATAGCAAAACCAAAGGAAATTCCATATGTTAGTTCCTTCTACATTTAGTGATTATTAAATGGAAAGAGAGAGAGAGAGAGAGAGAGAGAGAGAGGAGAGAGAGAGAGAGAGAGAGAGAGAGAGAATGAGAGAAAGACATAGACAGAGACAGAGAGACAGTCAAAATGTGCTTGTGTGTGTGTGTGTGTGCGTGTGTCTGTGTGTTTGTTCGTGTGTTTGTGTTGCGTGTGTCTGTGCATGTTGTGTGTGTGTGTGCGTGTGCGTGCGTGTTTATGTGTGTGTGTGTGTTTGTTCGTGTGTGTTTGTTTGTATCTATGTGTTTGTTCGTGCGTGTTTATGCGTGCGTGTGTGTGTGTGTGCGTGTTTATGCGTGCGTGTCTGTGTGTGTGTGTGTGCGTGTGTGTGTGTACGCCAAACAACCCACGAAATACTTACAGCAGTGATAATGCCGGAAATATAGGCCAACTTATGCGGATCACAACAACAGCAAAGACACACCATCTTGCCTGTTCTTCTGGCCCCTTTTCCCTTGCCTCTTCACCTGCCTCTTCTCTCCTTCCCTCTCTCTTCTCTTCTTCTCTTCTTCTTCTTCTCTTCCTTCTTCTTCTCTTCTTCTCTTCCTTCTTCCCCTCTTTTCTCTTCCTTCTTCTCTCTTCTTCTTTCCTTCTTATCCTCTTCTTCTACTTTTTCTCTCTTCTCTTCTCTTCTTCCTTCTCTCTCTCTTCTTCTCTTCCTTCTTCCTCTTCTTCTCTTCCTTCTCTCTCTTCTTCCTTTCTTCTCTTCTTCTCTTCTTCTTCTCCTCTCCTCTTCTTCTCCTCCTTCTTCCTTCCTCTTCTCCTCCTCCTTCTTCTCCCTCTTCTCCTCTTCCTCCTTCCTTCTTCTCCTCCTTCCTTCTTCTCCTCCTTCTCCTCTTCTGCTTTTCTTGTTAGCTCTTGTCTCAAAGTCCTCCCCTTGTATGGCAGTTTCTTCTGTAATTTTCGATAATAATAGTAATAATATAATAATAATAATAATAATAATAATAATGATAATAATAATATAATAATAATAATAATAATAATAATAATAATAATAATATTAATAATGATAATAATAATAATGATAATAATAATGATGATAATGAACAATATTGATTGTATTAGTAACAATAATGATGAGGATGAGGATGACTACTACTACTAATGATAATAATAATAATGATAATGATAATAATAAAGTATCATTATTATTATCATTGTTATTATTGTTAGTAATTTTTACGGTTATTGTTAATATTATTTCAATTATTTTCTCTATTTTTATTATCATTACTATTACTATAATCATTATCACTATCATCATTATGAAAATAACTAATAATAGCATAATTATATAAATGTAAATCAAATGATAATGATAATTATGATAATGATATTGGCGATGATGATTAAGACGATAATACTAATGATAGTGATAATGAAGATGATGATACTAATATTATCACTAATACCAATACTACTAATTATAGTACTATTACTACTACTAATGATGATAATAATAACGATAATAACAACGACAAACGCAAAAATACAAAAAATAATATTGATGGTAATAATGATGATAATAATGATAATAACAAAATAACAACAACAACAATAGTAATATTGGTAATAACAATGATAAAAATAATAACAACAGTAATAAAAATAATAACAACAATAACCAGAAGTACCCAGACAGCGCATACCTCCGCCAAGGCAATAAGACCACTGATGCAAAAAAAAAAAATATTCACACTTTAAAAAATTACAATAAAATCACCTTTCCCAAATACACAGGTAAATTTCGGAGGCTAGGTAATAGTGGTAATGATGCAACAATAATTAAAAAATACCTGGATCCGGCTCACGATTAACACCAAAATTTAATATATTAGAAGTTAGGGTAAAAATTTCATAAAAATCTGTTCATAATATTTTGATTTATCCCACTAACAAGCGAACAAATAAGCATAAATAATAAATAAATAAATAAATAAATAGATAAATAAATAAATAATAAATAAGAACAAATAAGGATCGCCTCTGGTACAAAAATCAGAAAAATCTATTTATAACTTTTTGAGTTATTCTACTAACAACAAACAAACAAATTAACTAACCAACGCGACCAAAAACACAACTTCCTTGGCGGAGGTAATTATAATGATGATGGTAATAGTAATAATAATAATAATACAAATAAAGATAATAATGATAAGGCTAATGGAAATAATAACATTAATGATAATAATGATAATGATAATAACATTAATGATATTAATAATAATAATAACACAAATAAAGGTAATAATAATAAGGATAACGATAATGATAATAACAATAATGATAATAACAATAATAATGATGATAATAATAATGATAATAATAATAATAATGATAATAATTAAATAATAATAATAATAAGAAGAACAATAATAATAATAGTAATAATAAACAGGAAATTACTGACAATGGATGGTGTACATCAACAAGAAGCAGAAGAGAATAAGTATATGAAAAGAGCGAGAAGAGGGAGGGAAAAGGAACAAAGACAGTGAAGAGAAAGAAGAATAACGATTGCCATAATGATAATATTATTGATAATTATAAGACAGAGTGAAGACATCCAGAGAGAAAGTTTTACAAGACGTAGAAAAAATAAACTGAACTGCAGGAGAATGAAGGTAAAGGGAAAAGCAAAGAGAAAGTGCAAAAAAAAAAAAAAAAAAAATAGAAGTGAGAGCTGATCGACGTCAGAACTGAAAAGGACAATTCAGGAAAACAACAAATATAAATATAAACAAATATAAAATCATAAGATATGACAACCGGCGAAAGTTAATCTTGATATTGTGCAGAGACAAGTGGTATTTACACAACCCAAAAAAAAAAAAAAAATGTACTCGAATCGAACCAATACAAAATATTGTGGGATTTCTTTAAACAAACTGATCACCAAGAGAACACGACAGACCAAAAATCGCGATGATGGAAAAAAAGAGAAACAAAAGACGCCAATCAATTGATCCGTCGCGCCAAGGAAGAAGAAAAGGACACAAATTACGACTGAAATAAGAAATGGAGAGAATGTGGAAGATGGAAGAAGTGGAAGTTATACCAGAGGCGGTTGCTGAACAAGAGCTAAAGACTTTGAAAATGACAAAAAATGGAATTAAAACAGTTGAAAAATATCTAGATGAACAGAAAAAAGGGGAACATAAAATAATTTCCTGAGAAGAAATGTGAACAAGAATAAGAATAAGAATGATACTGTTAACAATGATATTATCAATAATGATGATAATAATAACAATAATAATGATTAACACTAAGTAATGATAAATGATTAATGATAATGATAATTGATAATGATGAAT